CCCAGCTCCTTGAGCTTCTTTTCTTCAAGGCTAGCACTCTACCACTTGAGCCACAGTGCCACTTCTGGCTTTTTCTGTTTATATGGCACTGAGGAATTGAACCCAGGGCTTCATGAATGCTAGACAAGCACTCTACCACTAAAGCACATTCCCAGCCCTCTCTTCTTTTTTTTTCTTTTGGTCAGTCCTGGAGCTTGAACTCAGGGCCTGGGCTTTATCCCTGAGCCACTCTCTGCTCAAAGCTAGGGCTCTACCATTTGAGCCACAGTGCCATATCTGGATTTTTCTGTGATACTGAGGAATCGAACCCAGTGCTTCATGCATGCTAGGCAAAGACTCTACCACTAAGTCACATTCCCAACCCGAAAACCTTTTTGTTGTTGTTGCTGTTGTTTGGGGCTTGAACTCAGGACTTAGGCGCTGTTCCTGAGCCTTTGTGTGCTCAAGGCTAGTGTTCTACCACTTGAACCACAGTGCCCCTGTGATGTAATATTCTCTTTGTGACTTCATGACCATTGTGTCCCTGCCCACAAAAAAATTATCAATTTAATAATTTTTTGGAGCTGGGCGCCAGTGGCTCATGCCTGTAATCCTAGCTACTCAGGAGGCTGAGATCTGAGGATCATGGTTCAAAGCCAGTCCGGGCAGAAAAGTATGTGAGACTCTTATCTCCAATAAACCACTCAGAAAACCGGAGGTGGTGCTGTGGCTCGAGTGGTAGAGGGCTAGCCTTGAGCTGAAGAGCTGAAGCACACAGCACTTGGGCCCAGAGTTCAAGCCCTGGAGTTCAATTTTTTTTTTTTTGGAGTACAGTTGGTATTAGGTACATAGAGTACAATGGGTATTCAGTACATTCACATTGCAGTTTGGAATAGTACACAGATTTGTAATCTTAGATACTCTGGAGCCAGAAGTAGAAGGATATAGCAAGTCGAAGGCCAGCCTGGGCAAAGTAAGACCCTTTTTCAAAAACAAATGATTGTGGGGCACTGGTGACTTATACCTGTAATCTTAGCTACTCAGTAGGCTGAGATCTATGGATGGTGGTTTAAAACCAGTCCAGGCAAGAAAGTCTATGAGATTCATCACCACTTAACCACCAGAAAACCGGAAGTGGAGCTGTGATTCAAAATGGTAGAGCACTAGTGTTTCTCCCCCCCTCCCCCCAGTCCTGGGGCTTGAATTCAGGGCCTGGGCACTGTACCTGAGCTTCTAGTAGTCTACCACTTGTACCACAGTGCCACTTCTGGCTTTTTCTGTTTATGTGGTACTGAGGAATCAAATCCAGAGCTTCATGCATGTTAGGCAAGCACTTTACCACTAAGCCACATTCCCAGCCTTGGGACTGCTAGCCTTGAGTGAAAGAGTTTAGAGACAGTGCTCAGGCTCTAAGTTAAGACTCATGACTGATTAAATGGGCAAAAAAAAAAAATAACAATGGGCTGGGAACATGGCTTAGTGGTAGAGTGCTTGCCTAGCATGTGTGAAGCCCTGGGTTTGATTCCTCAGTATCACATAAAAAGAAAAGTGGTGCTCTGGCTCAAGTGGTAGAATGCTAGCCTCGAGCAAAAGAAGTTTAGGGACAGTGCCCCGGCCCTGAGGTCAAGCCCCTGGACTAGCAAACAAAACAAAAAACCCCCAAACAAACAAAAAAACCACAAGGCAACCTAGGCACTGATTCAGGTGTATAATCCAACCTTCTCCACGTGTCAGAGATTAGGATGCTTGGAGGCTAGTCCAGGCAAAAAATTCAGAGATTTATCTCAACAGAAAAAGCTGGGTGTGGTGGTTGTGTCTGTCAGCTCAGCTATGGTGGTAGGATTGTAATTTGGACTGGTCTGGGCAAAAAGTGAGACCCTAGGGATGGGAAGTTGGCTCAGTGGTAGAGCATTTGCCTTGTATGCCTGAGGCCCTGGGTTCGATTCCTCAGCACCACATAAACAAAAAGAAAAAAGCCGGAAGTGGCACTGTGGCTCAAGTGGTAGAGTGCTAGCCTTGAGCTGAAGAGCTGAGGTACAGCACTCAGGCCCAGAGTTCAGGCCCCACGACTGGACCACCCCCCAAAAAAAAAGTGAGACCCTATAACTAAACAATAGAGCAAAAAGGCTTGGGCATGTGACTCAAGAGGTAGAGTGTCAGGCTAGCATGTACCAGGCTTTGGGTTCAATCCCTAGAACTGAAAAAATAAATGGACTAGGAATTGTAGCTTGCATTTTAGAGTACTTGCCTAAACAAGTTCAAGGGCTTGGGTTTAATCCTTATTATTGCAAAACAAACATTCACATTGTTCAATTGTTGGTTTTTGATTACTGAGTTAATCTGTTATATGCTTATTCAGTTCTATTTCTTTCTTGGGTTACTTATGACAGTTTATGTGTTTCTAGGAATTTGTTCATTTCATTTCCTATATAATTTGTTGACATATGGTTTGTAATAGTTATTTCTTTTTCTTGTCACTCCAACCATACCCAGCACTGAGGATCCAATACAGGACCTCATATTTACTAGACAACTGCTCTTCTACTGAGCATGTCAATATGACTAGGTTGCACTCTCCAGATAGCTAATGAAGTATTTGTGGTGTTTCTGGAAGAGCTTATAATTTGAACCAGTGGACTGAGTAAGAAAGGTCTGCCCTTACCAACAAGGTGGGCACCATCCAATTCATGGAGAATGGAAGGAAAGGTATAGAAAGGATGACTTGGAAGGATGACTTATCTCCTGAGGCTGGAATGCCCATCTTCTCTTGCCCTGGGATATGAGACATCTTGGTTTTGAAGTCTTCAGACTTAGCTCCCCCTGAGTCCCAAGTTTTTTTTTTTTTGGGTCCTGTAGTGGGGCTTGAACTCTGGGCCTGGGCGCTGTCCCTCAGCTCTTCAGCTCAAGGCTAGCGCTCTACCACTCGAGCCACAGAGCCACTTCCTGCTTTTTTCTTTTTGCTTATGTGGTGCTGAGGAATCGAACCCAGGGCCTCAGGCATGCAAGGGAAGCACTCTTCCACTGAGCCACCTTCCCAGCCCCCAAGTTTTTTTTTTTTTTTTAATCAGTTGTAGAACTTAAACTTAGAGCCTGGGCACTGTCCCTGAATTCTTTTGCTCAAAGCTACCACTCTACCACTTTGAGCCACAGTTCTACTTCTGGTTCTTGAGTGGTTATTTGGAGATAAGAGTCTAACTAGGATTACTGGTACCTGGCAGGTCCCAAGCTTATAGACAGTAAATCATAGGACTTTGTGTGTGTGTGTTGTGTGTTGTGTGTGTGTGTGCGCGCACGCCTATAGGGTTTGAACTCAGGTTCTGGGCACTCAGTTCCTAAGTTTTTTTTTTTTTCCTCAAGGCTAGCACTCTACCACTTGAGTCACAGTTTCATTTCAAGCCACTTGAGCCATAATTCCACTTCAGCTTTTGAGTGGTTTAGAGATAAAAACAAACAAACAAACAAACAAAAACCCAAGGACTTTCCTGCCCAGGCTGGCTTTGAACCTCCTTCAACAGCTATGAACCTCTTGAACAGGATTATAGAAGTGAGCCTCGGCTTTGTACCTCCTTCATTGGAGATAAGAATCTCACAGACTTTCCAGTGGTGCTGTGATCCTCAGATCTCAGCCTCCTGAGTAGCTAGGATTACAGGCCTGAGCCACCAGCATGACTCAGCTAGATCTCAGACTTCTGAGTAATTAAGATTACAGGGGTGAGTCATCAGCATCTGCCCAATTCCTGGTTTTTCTTTGTTTCTTTCCTTTATTCCTATTTTTGTAAACATAATTGTTGAGCTTGAATTGTTTTATGATAGTACTGGAATTTGAACTCAGGGTGTCCAGCTTTCTAGGTAGGAGGTCTATTGCTGAGCCACACCTCTAGACCAGGTATATATATATATATATATATATATATATATATTTTTTTTTTTTTCTATTCTTTTCTTTTTGGCCGGCCATGGGGCTTGAACTCAGGCAGGGCGCTGTCCCTGAGCTTCTTTTCTTCAAGGCTAGCACTCTACCACTTGAGCC